GTGCGACCAGATTAAAATAATTGGCCATGGCGTCTAATGCGCTCAAGTCTTCCCTCTATGTAAATTGGGAGGGTTCTAGAAGTCAGAATATTACTCTCTCCAGGTAAGGAGGAATAGGAAGCTCTAATGATTTAGGACGAATGAAAAGGATAATCATCGAACCAAAGTTGCCGAGATTTGTCGAACAAGCCCTGATCGTCGGCAGGGGGATAATTTCTAAAAGCTTTCAGGAATCAATGACTACCGCAAGGAAGACAGAAAGTTAAAAACATCACAGTGGATATACGAAAGTTCCCAAGCACATGACCTTGGTACAGACGGTACATATTGCGTTAGAACCGAACGAGAGATCAAAACGAAGCCTTCAGAAAACATATCGGAGATATCGGTACTCACAAATCAGATTGCAGCGGCGCATGACATATCATCACCAGAATCTTCAGCGAGTCACCGACCTGGCTGTTTCGACCATAGGAAAAACTGGCTAATCGGTTGAATGCCTCCGAACTGGCCGACGATGGAAGAGTCGATAAGTTATTGCTGCACAGCTATTTTTAATGCCATGCTGAGGCTGGTTGTAGGGGAATATAGTGAGAATCGACGCTGCATACGGATCGTTAAAACGAACGACTTTCAGCTTTAATCATGTTTGAAGGTCAAACAGCATGTGGCATGGTTGTGTTCATTCAACAGCTTTACTTTCCTTCGGTGGAGGCGAAAAAGAAATTCCGAAGAGAATCGACGTTGGCTGATTAAGTTTTTTTTTTAAGTGGACAAATCTTCATCTTCATCTTCCATCGCTGCTTCTCCTTTCAGCTCGCGGAGGCAGACGCGTCAGACACTGCTTCCAACGTTCCCGATCCTGTGCCAAAGTCTGAGCTTCGGCAAAAGACAAATGCAGTCTGGAATAGATGCCTTCCATATGTTTGCACTAGGTTAATCTTCGCCATCCCCTGGGCCTTTTGCCGGTCGGATTTGCAAGGAACAGTTGCTTAGCCTTCCTTTCTGGAGGCAT